ATATCACAGGAGATGGAAAATATTTCAGCTGAGGTCATAAAAGAATCTGAAAACGAATTGATCGATGAATATAACTATTCACCTACTTATTTACTTGCTTACTCACTTATTTTATTTATTTATTCGGTTACATATTCGAAAGATGGGCTACTTTATACTATTTAGTCACCTGTGTTTAATCCACATTAATGATCCTTAGTGATTGGAGTTTATCGACTATGTTTACAGCCAGGCCATCAAGCTAAGTGATTGCATGTTACTGTGCACTGTGTTTATTATTATTATTAGTCCCTTGGGTTCCTAGTGGAACATAGGGCTTCAGTAGTACGCCTCCAGTGACTCTGTTCTCTGAGATCTTTTGAACCTGGTTCCACGACAGCCCACAACCTCTCATTTCCTCCTCGCACGACCTCCTCCATGTCACCCTCGGACCTCCAACTCGGCGCTCCCCCTGGGGATTCCACTCGAGCGACTGGCCTGACGCGTGATGTCCTCAGTCGGCCTTCTCAGTGCATGGCCAATCCATCTCCACTTCTTCCTGCATATTTGTTGCGTGATAGGTTCTTGGTTGGTTCGTTCCCAGAGTTCCTTGTTGCTAATTTTTCTGGCCATCTGATCTTCAGTAGCGAGCCAGAGTAGGTGGCAGTTGTTGATGAATGTCTGTAGTTTATTGGAAATGCCTTTCGTGACGCGCCAAGTCTCTGAACCATACAGAGCACTGACTTGACTGAGGTTGGTGTTGAAAATCCGTATCTTGTTCCGCATGCTGAGTGCAGAAGATCTCCACACTGATTTCAGGTTAATGAACGCCTGTCTTGCTTTTCCGATTCTGACTTTGGCATCCTCATCAGTCCCGCCTGTAGTTGAAACAGTGCTGCCTGCCTAGATAGGTGAAGGAGGTTACTTCCTTTAAGTTTCTCCCGTTGATGGTGATTGGAGTTTGTTGTTGTTGTTGATGGTGGTGGTGCGGTATCTTCATCACCTCTGTCTTCTCTATATTCACCTGAAGTCCCGTCTTCACTGCCTCTTCTGCCAACTTGTTAGCTTTCGCCTGTAGATCTTCAAGTTTGTGTGACATCAGGCACAAGTCATCATTGCCGAAATCATAGTCTTCTAGGTTCTCTTTGCAGTCCGGCGTATCCCCCTCTTCTCGCTCATCACAGTTTGCTTCATGATCCAGTCCAGTCCACTAAAATCACGAATATCATGGGAGATAGTAGGCAACCGTGTTTCACTCCTGTCTTCACTTCAAAAGCATCACTGAGCTTCCCATTGTGAATTACTTGTGATGTGGCATCTTCTATAGTTGTTGAGTGAGGCGGATAAAGGTTTGTGGTATTCCGTAGTATTGAAGCAGTTTCCAACTTACTTCTCGGTCGACGCTGTCAAAGGCCTTCTCAAAGTCGATGAAGTTGAGGTAGAGAGCTGATTGCCATTCTATACTCTGTTCTATGATGATGCGTAGCGAAGCGTTGCAATTTGGTCGGCACATGATTTGTACTTCCTGAAGCTAGCCTGCCTGTTCCGGTCGTAGTTTTGAATCCAGTGCATCCTTTAGCCTCTCCAGGATGATGCGGCTTAATATTTTGCTTGCTCTGGGAGGACAGGAGTGGGGCATGATTCCACGCCAGTTCTTGCAAACACTGAGGTCGCCCTTCTTCGGGAGTTTGACCAGGTAACCCTTCTTCCAATGGCCAGGTACTTTCTCTTCCTTCCACACCTTCTGCAATACAAATACAAATCTTGACATAATGGTTTAGTGTCTATTATATTGTGATTAGGATAGCACTTTAGTTCTGTAAAAATAAGCTTTTTTAATCTGATGGCAACTTTTAAACAAAAGTGGACTGACAGTTAATTCTTGTTTAATGTTCACAATATCTATAACAAATTCCAGTTTTTCATCAAACATTATTAAAACTTAAAACTGACTACGGTTTCCAGCAGATTTAGCCTATTGAAAATATAATAAAACGGTTATGTTTCATTGAATCAAACCTATTCCATAGTGTCAATTTTCAATTCTAACCTGGATAAACAACATTATATGATACGGTTTCTAGTTATCGAAAGAAGAGAAGCTTCCACAAGTTCATTTATGAGTAATACAAACTTCAAAACCTAGGCAAATGATTCCTGTCGAATAAGTCCTAGCGCCTAACACTAAAGTACGGTGGACTGCAGTGACCATATTAAAAGTTTGATCAACATACTTTGGACAGTGCTGAGCACAGGGGATCAGACACCTATGTAGTTTGAAATAATGGAGAATATTGGTAGCTTAGGTGGATGGCCTTCGTTGTATTGTGTTCTCTGAGCTGGGTTGTTTAATCGTGAAGCTTTCATCGTCTTGCTAGACAGCGACATCATCAGCTGCACTAACTTCAGTATGAAGTGAAGTGTCAATATCTCTCCATTACTGAGTGATTTAGTGGCTTGCTCTGACGATGTGGTCTGTGATTGGTTGTTTCCTTCGATTGCTGTGTCATCGATGGACTGTATAGACTTTTCTGTTGTTCGTTTCCTCTGCTTGACCTCTGACCTATCTTTCGTTCATCATTTTTCTCACTGGTTGATAGATTGGGTCTATGTCGATACATCTGTTGATTGCTGACTGACTGATCTGAATGCCAAGCTTCTAGGAATTCTCTGATGATATTCTTTGTGTTTCCCCTCTCCGTCCAAAATTTCGACATTCTCGAAATTGAATTCATGTCCATAGTTGTGATCCAGGTGCATTGAAATGAGTGACGAAATGTCGTGGCGTTTAATAGCCAATTGGTGCTCATGTAGTGTTTGCAAATACTATTATGCAGACCAAAGGATGCAACAACCAAAGGAGATAAACCGAATATCATTTACAAAATCAACTGCAATTACTGTAGTCAACACTACATTGCACGAAGTGGTCGCCCTCTTCGCCTTTGTCTACCTGAGCACCAATTGGCTATTAAACGCCACGACATTTCGTCACTCATTTCAATGCACCTGGATCACAACTATGGACATGAATTCAATTTCGACAATGTCGAAATTTTGGACGGAGAGGGGAAACACAAAGAATATCATCAGAGAATTCCTAGAAGCTTGGCATTCAGATCAGTCAGTCAGCAATCAACAGATGTATCGACATAGACGCAATCTATCAACCAATAAGAAAGATGATAAAAGATAGAAAGGTGAGAGGTGAAGCAGAGGAACGGACAGCCAATAGAAAAGTCTATACAGTCCGTTGGTGACACAACAATCGAAGGAAACAACCAATCACAGACCACGTCTTCAGAGCAAGCCACTAAATCACTCAGTAATGGAGAGATATTGACACTTCACTTCATACTGAAGTTAGTGCAGCTGATGATGTCGCTGTCTAGCAAGACGATGAAAGCTTCACGATTAAACAACCCAGCTCAGAGAACACAATACAACCAAGACCTATGTAGCTTACACACTGGTGATAATTTCAGGTATTTTTATGACTAGAGTTAGGCATATGACAAATTCTTAACAGTTGCTTGATGAAAGCAGTATAAAATGATTTAAAGGAAATAATATACAGTCTTTGCATATTCTCAGAATTGGCAGTTAAAACAACATTAGTTATGACTCTCTCACCTAATTATGTCATTTACAAACGTGTCACAGTAGTGTCAACAGCAGTGAGGATGAATGAATCAAGTTATGATCTCACAGAGTACAAGTTTCCTAATACCTAAACATTTTTCTGATGACTGTATTTAGACGCTAGTGGCAGTTCCAAAGTTACATTCTAAATTGACTGTAAGGGCAAATCAGACTGAATTATCCCAATGACCTAGGTAATGGATGTCTAACTTCGTCTGTAGCTAAACATATCATTGAAACGGACCCCACATTTGGTTTGTATGCATCTTTCCAACTTTTTACAAAACCTATTGATAATATATACTCTGATTTGTCAGGACTCTAGTCGAATTAAACTTTCCTATTTATCTCAGCTTTAGCACCAAGGCTGATAACTACACTACCTTTCTCCTCTCTTTCATTTTCTCTTCTACTCCATATAATATCGATTACTCTTTAAACCCATTTATCGTTTGTTAAAATTCCGATTGTTTTCTCGACTTCTTCTGCTCTGTTCGTTTGATTCCAGTGTTTTCAACCAACCCAGTTTGTTTCTCTCTTCAGAAACACTTACCAGTAGTTTAATTGAGATAAATTTAGTGTAATACTTAAACACATTGTTATCAGTAGTATGCATCACACTACCAATAAAAAAGTGTTCTGAAACCTGTAGAGATAAACTTTTTCCCAGTTATATACAACTCTAAAAACGATCAGCATGATTCCTGTATTTTCAACCTTTATATGTCAGAAATAGTGACTCAAGACTTCTCTCAGCTGTAAATTTGTGATACTGAACCCAAGATTTGTATATGAGAGTAAATCTGGGACCTATCAAGGTTTTAAAGTAACACAGAAGAGAATATATGACGTTTATATCTCACCGTCACCGAAGCGAAAACATATGAACAATTTTCAATCTCTGTTATTAATTCTAGGGCTGATTTTCAATCTACTCTTAAAGAAATCGGTCGATGAAGCTGATCTCTTCTTTGACATTAAAAGAAGTGAGTAAGCATTACAACTAGATTTAACAGTCCAAAGTGAGATGATCTAATAAGTTTGAAGTAGTTAATACTGTCCTTTTTCTCCACAAACATTTGATTTCTAAGCGGCAGTTTAGTCTCCCTTACAGGTAAATAAAGTTTTGTTACAAACCATAGAAGAATGACTCATTAACCCTTCTCAGATGAAATCGAGACCATCATTGTGATCTCTGCTTTAATTACCTTCAAAAAGATATGAAATATTTGTCCAGCTTAAAAGCTTCATCGCATGGAAGAAATCCATAGTGAATGCTTGAATTCATCACCATATTAATGATATTCTCATATTTTTAATAAATTTGTTATCCTACTTAAAGATAATCAGTAGTATCACCCAAATATTTTATCTTTCAGTTTTAATTAACTCAGAGGCATTTTGGAGAGAAGATAATTTACCATGTAAAAATCTTGGCAATTTTTGTCGTAAATTACCTTTTGGTCAAAGATGCTGTGATGCATCCGTATGCGATCTGAGAGCACCATTTTCTGGCACATGTGTACGATGTCTTCAGAAAGGCAGATTCTGTTTACGTAGTCGTGAATGCTGTGAAAATTACTGTTTTTTCTTTAAATGTCGTTAATTTTGATGCAGAAATAAATAACAGAGCAGAAAAACATATTAACAACCTGTTACTTGTTTTAAAAAGGTTATTGACTGACTGATAACTCTGTCAAAATAGTTTTTGATTTCTTATAATGAAGCATCTCTATTGAAAGCGCGCATTTCAGTGTCTGGTTACTGAAATAAGTTTATTTAGTCAATATAGGGAAAATGACAAACTTTTCTGAATTCTAAGCAATGTTCCAGCTTTTTACAATATATTAATGACATATAGCGAAATGACCATGACACTGGCAGGAAAATATAGGATTCCGATACTAAATCACCAAGTTAGCCGACTATGTTGATACAAATTTACTTTAGAGTGCTATAATTAACTCCATCTTCATGCGATTTTCTAAAAACTGGTTTCATCTTGGTTGTAAAATTGAAGAGTACTTTTGAACAAAGTGAAAATGTTAGCAGGTTGAGGTCACGCTAAACTACCAACTTAAAGAAATGGAAAATGTAGACAACTGCATTCCAATCCGAAGGCTCAGTAGTAACCTCATCTTTGAAAATGAAGGTACAAGTTGCGTACTGTGGAGGACTACCATACTAGGATGAAACAGCCGTTCAGTGCTCCCAGGTATTCAATGGTTATCGAACTGATGTCAGTGCTAGGTGAATACCAACTTAGAAGTGAGTGGGTTTGCAGCATAAAATGACAGCACATTATTTGACAGATATTTATAAGCTACGTGGAACCCAATATTATATATACCAGTCTCTATAGGTGACAACGTTTGTGTGATTAGATTGATAACTATAGGCCTTCAGAAATATTGTCAAACATATGAAGATTCAAGGGAAGGAATTTGTATTGATTGGTCACAGGAGTGCAACCAATTTCATGTTGTCTAACCCTGAGTGCAGACCGAATTATATCAATCATATTTGCAATGTGGCAACCAAACTAGGAAGCTCAACATAGCGATGCACATAGTAGATGTTAGTTGGTTGGAGGCAGTCGGCAGGAAGCCCTAGACCTAGGTTTCGTGCTTTTCGGCACTCATCAGCAAGGTGTATCTGCACCGCGATGCTGAGCTTCCTAGCTTGGTCGCCACATTGCAAATATGATCGATAGGATTCGGTCTGCACTCAGGGCTAGACAACATGAAATTAGTTGCCCTCCCGTGACCAATCAATACATGTAAGCCAGGCCTACAGGATGCCAATTGTGGCCTGAATACCTCAGTGGTAAAGTCTCTGACTACGACACTGGGTGATGCGAGTTCAAATCTCAGGCGGGACATCAGTTCCATCGAGGTTGCAGATACGCCTTGCTGACGAGTGCTAAAAAGCACGAAGCTTAGGTCCAGGGCTTCCTGCCGAAGGAATTTGTTAGGCAACTGTGCAAATGCATAAATTCACGAGTAATTCTGTCAGTGAAAGACTTTATGAAAAAAAGGTGAAACAAGTAGTTAATGTTAATCATTCTACCAAACAAATAATATCTTTTAAATAAACCCGTATGCATACTATGTCCATATATAACTGGAAAGTGCTATATCAATATTCATAAGATAGAAGTATAAAATGCAGCCTTATTGTATGTTTGGAGAAAGTCGACTGATATTGGGTTTCGAGCACATGATCTTAATTGTAACGCTTAGTGGCTAGCAGTAGAGTTCCAAACGTACCCTCCTTTCTATTACAAATTCGTTGGCTAGATGTATCTATCTCTCATTGAATGGTATTATTCTCGATAGTACTCGAACACAAGACCAGCCGCTGAAAACACCAAGGCAGTAAGTCACAGTAGCTGTAACACTTTATCTTATCCAGGCAATAATGAATCAGCTGATGTAGATTCACTCAGTTGGAAACTGAGTTTGAAAAACAGAGTAATAGATAATTAATGAGAACAAACAAGTTGATAAAAAACTGGTGTATGTGTATCGGAAACAGAGTGATTTCATTCGAATAAGAACTCAGTTCTAAACAATAGGTAGTATGAAGATTACAATAGAAAGCTGTAATACTTGGATTTTACTGAGTGGTAATCACTGACTGACAATCTCAGTATATCGTAAGTCAATAGAAGTGTGAAAATTATGACATTATTTCCATATTGATCACCAAATGATATCGTATTTGACTAAACGCTCGATAGTACTGCGTTCTATTCTCCATGATTTCATGGACGCGGTTTGCTAAAAAAATTACAGGATATCTAAATGATGTCAGTAATTGAAGGGAACTACCGTGAAAAATGAATGCGATCGCATTTATTAGTCAGAACAACAAACAACATAAAAATGTAACTGAGAAAGACATACAAGTTCAGTTTGAAGCTGGTTACTGAGTAACACAATGGTGACCTCGGTTTTTTATCGATTCCGATAAGTGATCATATACGTCTTTCAGTTTCACAAATGTAAACTTTAAAATAAATCTTCCTTGTGACTGAATCAATGTTTAGTTATGCTTATTTATGAAGAGCAAGCACTTGGCCATACTGTCTGTAACAAATTGGATGGCTAGCAGTAATGGGCAGAAAGCCCCGCCCACTTAAAACTTTGTTCCTTGTTGGCACTCATCAGCAAGGTGTATCTACAGTCTTAAGGGGACTGGTATGAACTGCGTTACTCAATGATACAGACACACACGTTGTCAGTGAGGTATTCTGACAGCAATCAAAATCTGTACAAAAACAAACTTTTATTTAGGGATATTTTTGAAGTTCTGAAAAACTGTTTAGCCTGGTAGCTTCTCTTTGCATCAGTTAAAACCAAAAATATGAAGTGAAAATAAAACGGATCAGATCGAGGAGTTGAAAGTGTAAAGTGAAGGTATTAGATTCGAAGTGATTATTCTGATAACAGAGGATGAATATTAATAATCAGGAGGCTCCGGAGATGATGTAAACACTGCAGGGTAATTGATGAAAGTGTATCGTAGAACTAACTATAGCGTAATACTGCTTGAGTGATTTTACTTTATTTAACTGGGAACAGCAGTTTTCTCGTGGTTTCAGATACGCCTTTCTGTCAACAAGCACAAAACCTTGGTCGCAAGCTTCCTGGTGATTGAATGTCTAACGTCGAGTAAAAAGAATCAAATAGGATACGTAAATTCCTTGTTGTACCCTCGTCTGTGCATTCGTTTTCGAGAAAATCCATTATCTATTACTTTTGCTCATAGCATGTGAAGTCAAAAGTCATCATAAGCTAAGTATACCTTTGTCAAGTGATGATGGACAATGACTAGTAGTGTAATGTATGATACACGTTTCACCTACTTATGTACCCATCAGCTGGATGTAAGTATCTTTCAGAAGGTAATGTTGTTGTCATTGAGATCTTAACCCAGCAGAAATAAGAAGAAACGCTAGGGCTTTATCTACATGGCTACTGAGTCACAATACTTAGTCTTTGTTCGGGGGCATACTTTGATGATATAGCCTGCGGTTTTCCGTCATTGAGCCTATGTGCGAATGGTCGACAATTAGAAACTACAAGCCAACATACATATACCTGTGTTATACATCTGAAGGAAATTAATGTTGAGAATTACAAGTTATAACTTCAGTGTGAGAAACATCTGAACTTCACTATGGTAGAAAGAACAACAATAACTATTTGATTTGTTGTGGAGACAAGCACAAATAAAGATATTTTAACTGAGCTACGATCAGTAAGATGACTAGACTTTGTCTTGAGCATTTCACGAAATTCTATCTGAAGGTTTATTAATTGATTTTACGTCGGAGTTCACCATGAACTGACATCAGTTGGAAGAACGTAGGGCATCTGGGAGGACTGTACAGCTGTTTCATCACGGCATGGCACTCCTCTGCAGTGCGCATCGATGACCCCTCCAGGAATCGGACCTAGGGCCTTCGAGTTCCGCGGCCAGCACGCTACCATAGAGCCATTGGGTCAGAACCTAGTGGTCCATAGTTCCTACTTCTGTCAGATCACGGTGTAGCGTGACCTACATCCAATGTTATTGAGCAACTGTCCTCATGTCCTACTTGGTTGACTCTACTGGTCACGACTTCTGATTGGAACTTCGGCAATCACCTCTCGAAGCTGGTCACCAATGAGTGCTAGATTAATTCTATCTCAAGATTTGTGGAGTTTTATCAATTGATTTTAGGTTGAAATTCATCGTGGACTGACACCAGTTGAAATAACACCTGAAACCTGGAAGCACTGAACAGCTGTTTCGTCCTGGCCATGGAGACTTAAGGTCCCGGATTTGAACCCTGGCGCGGTCATGGGTGTGCACTGCTTAGGAGTCCCATACTAAGACGAAACAGCTGTCCAGTTCTCCCAGGTTTTCTGTGTTCCTCAAGTTGATATCGCCTCATAATGATTTTCAACCTAAAACCAATTATTAAATCTCCACCAGCCTCTAGATCGAAATCATCTCTTGTTTGGCATGTCATTTTATACACTTCTTGTAGTTTGTATTCCCACTGAATGTTGTATGTTCTTTTTTCCTTGACTTCGCACCTATCGAGCGTTATCACTTTCCACGTTGCTATATATACTACTTATGTGCATTTCTATAGATAGCTATCATTATATTAGTTGGAACAGGTCAATAAAATGGAAGGAATTGTTGACTTCATCAAATTTGCCTTCAATCCAAGTATATATATACAACCTCTAATGAAATGAGTTATAGCTTTTCCAGAAACAATAATTATCTGATCTAAAGTATAATTTTGGTAATGAACACCAAATAGTAATAATAATAATAATAACAATAATGATAATAAAGGAAAATGCTTAGTATAGTCATTATAAGAACTTGATGAAAAAATGCTTCCAGCTAATAGAGACACCTCTCAATCATTTTTTACAGCATACTATCACAGGCAAGTTCTGATCAACTTTAGCAAACTCTGATCTTCAGTAACCACCAGAGTAGGTGGCAGTTGTTGATCAATGTGTGTAGTTTGTTGCAAATCCCTTTCGTGACGCGCCAACTCTCTCAACCATCACATAGAAGCACTGACTTACTTGA